AATGGCACGGCCTGATCCCCGAGATGCAAAATCCCGAGGATGCTCGCCATCAAATGGACAGCCCTACTGTGCTCGGCCAATATGCCTTGCGCGTCCAAAACCATGAAACAAAAATCCGCCTGCCCGCGCCCAGGCGGGCAACCGTGCCAAGGATGTGGGAGTTTGCTTGCACCCGCTAAGTGCGAAATAAAGTGTTCCGAACGTTCCCGCGTATCCTGAATGCCCATCGCCCCCGAGCGCGCTGCCCCCCTCCCCCCACCCCCACGTCGGAATCTCGCCAACCGCGCAAGTATAGTCAAGCACCTTCAATGCAACGAGCCCCTCGCTGGCAAAAAACCTAGAATGTTTATTCGGCCTGGGCACGTACCGCTTCTGGAAAAAATCCTGCTGGAGCCTGCGGAACTCAGGGCCGGTGTCAGCGTGGCGCAACATCTCAGCGGCAAAGTCGCCCAGATCACTCAGGGCGATGCCGCGCGACTGCAGCTCCTTTAAAAAATAATTGCAATGCCATTGCCACACGCCGCCCGATGCGATGAGGCAGTGCATCCAGTCATAATATAGGCTACTGACTGGCCGATACACATGTTTGAGTGAGACGTCAAATGCCAAGCCGCCTGGCTCAAAGTTGAGCCCGTATGATTGCTCCAGAAGCTCGAATTCTTTATTGCTTAAAAGTGGCCTCTTGGCAATTAGATCTTCTACAAGTTCCCAGGCTCGATCGTCTGTTTTCCTGTGGAACACTTCTGGGGTCGCCGTGGCGCAATGGAAAATATAATCGTCATCTTGGCAAGCCTCGGGCAGACTATTGCAGATGTTTGAACACAGCGCGCAGCAGGATGTTCCTGCAGCACCTTTTGTAGATCGGCATTCCTTGTGAGCCTTCTCGTCCATGATACAACAATGCAGGTCGCCCCGCAACGCGAAGACTCCGCCTCTGCCATCTGGGAGGCGCATGCCTCCTGGGAAACTGAACTGCCCGACGCCGAGCCCAGTGAAAAACGCATGAACAACATATTTCATGAGGCCCGCCAGCTTGTGTCGAATCCGAGCGAGCAGGTCATACTCGATCACGAACGCTGGAAACCAACCGAAATCTTGAGATCGGAACCAGCTGGGGAACTGACATATTGTCCAATACCCAACGCAGTACTTGTTGACCGAATCTGGTCTGAGCTGGTTGCCCGCGCTGGTTTCGTCCGCCCAGAGGGCGACGTGGGCGAACTCATGTCCTGCCGTGCAATCCTTCAGCAGCCTGGCGAAGGCAGGAACAGTGGACGTTAACCAATATAGAAGAGCGAATGGATTGATCAATTGAACTGGCATGCGCGTGCCATCGTCCATCTCCACATGAACATTCGTGTACAGGCCTCCGTGGTTCGTACTCACTCCGTCTATGTGCCGCACAAGCTGAGGCCCTAGGTTCGTCGGGTTGTCAAGGTTGCCTTCTTCTCGCGCCGCTGCGATGGCGCGAGCCACTGATCCGAGAGACGTCGAAATTCCACATAGCGCAAGAAGCCGCGGACGTTTGGGCGGATGCGCCATGCACATGGATCAGTTTGGGCCCGCGCGGCTACAGAAGAACAGGCGGCAAGCCCGAGGGTGGGGGCAGGAGCACCAGCAGTGACGCTATGATCCACCGCCGCCTGCGCGGCAAAGGCGTGTTAAAATGCTAGTGGGCTGTCTGGGAGTGTTGTGCACTATTCTATATAAAACGCTCCGAAACGTTATGAAAAGTTATGAAAAGTTATGAAAAGTTATGAAAAGTTATGAAAAGTTATGAAAAGTTATGAAAAGTGATTAAAAAAATTATGAAAAGTTATGAAAAATTATCAAACGTCAGACGGAAAACCTTTCAAACACGGCCAGCTATTACAAAAAGTTAGAACTTGAGTACAGGGTTTTTGCTTTTTTTTTTTTTTTTTGTTTTTTTTTTTTTTTATTTTTTTTTTTTTTTTTTGGTTTCCCCCCCCCCACCCCACCCCCCCCCACAACCCCCCCCCCCCCCCCCCCCCCCCCCCCCCCCACACCCCCCCCCAATCCACACCCCCCCCCCCCCCCCACCCCCCCCCCCACCCACCCCCCCCCCACCACCCCCCCCCCCCCACCCCACCCCCCTGCACTTGCGTAACTCAATTGTTATCCCCCCGCAAACCAAGTTACAACAGCCACAACAGCAAAATCCATGAAGTGGTCCGGTGTCACACGCGTGGTCCGGTTGGTCCGGTTGGTCCGGGTGGTCCGCGTGGTCCGGTATAGCCGAGGTTGGTCCAGGTGGTCCGGGTGGACCGGTGGATCCGGTCGGTCCGGGTGGTCCGGTTGGTCCGGTTGGTCCGGTTGGTCCGGTGGGTCCAGGTGGTTCGGTTGCTCCGGCCGGTCCGGGTGGTCCGGTTGCTCCGGTTGCTCCGGGTGGTCCTAGTGGTCCGGTTGGTCCGTTTGGTCTGGTTGGTGCAAGCGAGCTTCAAGCCTGAGCCGGAGGTACAGCCTCGGCATGCACACCGCAATGCAAACTGATCAAAAGCTGAATAGCCCTCTCAACTTGCTGAAATCTAACTTGAAATGTACTTGTAAGCGGAAATCTAAATTTAAGGTTAAATCTAAATTTAACTTTAGATCTAAATTAAGTTTAAACTTAAATATAACTTTAAATGCACATTCAACTTTACACCTAAGTTTACACAAACATTGAAATCCACTGCTGAATTCCAATTCCAGTGTGACCTTCAAGCCTGAGCTGGAGGTACAATCTCGGCATGTTCTGCAATGCAAAACGAACAAGAGCAAAATTGTCAGCTGAAGTGGCACTTGCATTGAAATCTAACTTGAAATTGACATGTAAACGCAAATCTATATTTAAATTTAGATTGAATGTAAATGTAAATTGAAATTTGAATATAGATTGAGTTCTAAACTTAAATCTAAATATACATGTCAATTTTAATATAAGTTTGCGCATACATTCAAATCCACGGGACAAAAAAAGGAAAGGCCGCAAATATATACAAAAAGGGACCAAAGGGATAAACTGATAACACAAATATGATAAGCACAATTTCTAAGCAAAATGGGACTTGAAGGCACGCAAAGAGAACAACGAACACAAAAAAAGACTAAATAAACAAACGAACGGGACAAACAAAAGGGACAAACGAGAACCGACAGAAAAACTGGAGAAAAGCGCACAGCATTTACCCCTTTAGAAGACTCAAAAAAGCCCTCGCGGGGCGGCGGCTCTCCTCCTCCTCCGTCTCCTCCCCCTCGTCCTCCTTCTCATCCCTCCGCCTCCTCAGCCACACCATCACCATCACCACCGCCATCATCATTACCACCATCATCAAGCCTGGAGATACAACGCGTCACAGAAGACGATAAGCACAGCTTCTAAGCAAAATGGGACTTGAAGGCACACAAAGAGAACAACGATTACAAAACATGGCAAAATAAGCAAACGAAAAAGGACACAGAAAAGCGACAAACGAGAACTGACACAAACAACTGGATAAAAACGCGCAGCATTTACCCCTTTAGAGGACCCAAGAAACCCTCGCTGGGCGGCGGCTCTCCTCCTCCTCCTCCTCCTCCTCCTTCTCCTTCCCCTCATCCTCCTTTTCTCATCCCTCCGCCTCCTCAGCCACACCATCACCACCACCATCGCCATCATCAGTACCACCATCATCAAGGGCCCAGGGAGGTACCAGCCCCAAAAAGAAGGGGGGAGAAAATAGGCCGGAACTACGGGGGAAGGTTTCAGTAGAATTCCGTGTGGTGGATTTCAATAGGATTCCTTTTGTAAAGAATTTCAGTAGGATTCCTTTTGTCGATTGTTTCAATAGAACTCCTTTTGTAAAGGTTTCAATCGGATTCCTCTTGTAAAGGGTTTCAAAAGGAACTTGATCCAGAGGCGCCATCATCACCGTCATCGTTATCGTCATCGTCATCCTCATCGTCATCATCATCATCATCATCATCATCATCACCACCACCACCACCACCACCAGTAATCTCCAGGTGGTCCGGGTGGTCCGGATGCATGGTCTGGGTGCTCCAGGCCGGGAGGTCTGGGAGGTCCGGGTGGTCCGGAAGAACCGGGTGGTCCGGGTGGTCCGGGTGGTCCGGTTGGTCCGGTTGGTCCGGTTGGTCCAGCTGGTCCGGTTGGTCCAGTGGTCTGGGTGGTCCGCGGCTGGTCGGGGTGGTCCGCGGCTGGTCCGGTTGGTCCGGCTGGTCCGGGTGGTCCGGTTAGTCCGGGTGGTCCGGGTGGTCCGGCGGGTGGTCCGGGTCATCCGGGTGGTCCGGTTGGTCCAAGTGGTCTGGGTGGTCCGGGTGGTCCGGGTGGTCCGGGTGGTCCGGGTGGTCTGGGTGATCCGGGTGGTCCAGGTGGTCCGGATGGTCCGGTTGGTCCGGGGGGTGGTCCGGGTGGTCCAGTTGGTGGTCCGGGGACGTGGGGGCGACTCTAATGGCTTCCTCAAGCCACGATCCCAGCAGAGCTGCAGGTCCGCCTACAGCCCAGCCCATCAACCATCATCGTCATCATCGTCATCATCATCATCATCATCATCATCATCATCATCATCACCACCACCACCATCATCATCATCATCATCATCATCATCATCATCGTCTCAGTGCACCCGAGTTGGGTCGTTGGAACTATTCTGGGCAGAGCAGTCCAAGGCTCCCCCCTGCAGGCAGAGCAGTCCAAGGTTCCCCCCTGCAGGCCGACACGTGTCGGTGCTGCGGCGCGCTTGATTACCGAACCCCGTCTCCTCAGGCACCATTCGGGCGGCCTGGCTAAAGAAAGCGAACACAGGAGGCTGGGGGGCTGCCGTCCTCCTCATCCTCATCATCCTCCTCCATCGTCCCTCTCCCTGCTCCCTCCTCCTCCTCTTCGCGCCCGCCTCCTCCCTCTCCCGTCGCCCGTCACCTCCCTCCATGCTCCTTCGAAGAGGCCCTGCGCACACACGGGACGGGCGCGGGCTGGGCCGGCAGCAGGGGCCGGGAGGGCACCTGGGCGGGAACTCGCCGAAGCACTCGCCGTCCTGGCCCACGGCGCGGGCGGGGCGGGGGAGTCCATCCTGCTGCTCCTGCTGCTCCTGCTGCTCCTGCTGCTCTCTGCTGCTCCTGCTGCTCCTGCTGCTCCCGCTGCTCCTGCTGCTCTCTGCTGCTCCTGCTCCTGCGGCTGCTCCTTCTCCTCCTGTGCCTCCTCTTCTGCTCCTGGTCCTGCTGCTCCTCCTGCTCATGCTCCTGTCCCTCCGGCTTCTGCATCAATACCCAGGTAAAGGGTGTCGGAATGCCTCGGTACGTCGTTCCCCTCCAGTTTCCTGAAGCCAGGCTGGTCTCTTTTGAACCATGTGGCAAGAAGGCCGAAAAGGAAGATCAAATACGGAAGCAACATGCAGCATGGAGCAGCCGAAAATAAAGATCATCAAATACGGAAGCAACTGCAGCAGCAATATATCAAATATGAACCAGAATGACATTCGATGGAGAAGCACGAGAAGCAAAATACCCTGGAGATTCGTCTGGCAGCGGTGAGAGGCTCCGTCTCATCCTCTTGTTTCTCCTGCTCTAGCTGCAGCTGCTGCTGCTGCTGCTGCTGCTGTTCCAGCTCCTCCTCATCATGATGCTGCCCCTCCTGCTGCAGCTCCTCCTTTTCCTGCTCCTCCTACTCCTCCTGCTCCTCCTCATCCTCCTCCCGCTGCTGATCCTCCTCCTCCTCCTTCTCCTGAGGCTTTTCATCATCCTACTTTCTGCGCGAGTCGGAAAAGACAACAGGTGGTCGGATCGTCAATGGAAACGGCCAGTAGAGAAACGACAGACATTAGCAGCGGCCACGCGAGAAACTCGAAGGGCCCACGAACCAGGTAAGGAGCCTAAATCAACTGTCGTAGTGGCACGTGTGTTATACGGGTGTTGTGCAATACATTCCCTTCCCATATGAGTTCTATTATGCTATGCAGCAGCAGCATTGGCACCATCATCATCCCTGTCCTCCCCCATTCCTCCTCTTCCAGCCCCGCAGCAGAAGGGTCCTGTGGTCGTGCCTGCGCCGTCAAGGCTGGGGCCTTCGCCTCCAAGTTGCCAACCGTGTAGACCACCAGGGAGGTAGTCTCGAAAAGCTCCTGGGGCAGGGGGGATAGAGAAGAAGAGGCAGGAGGAGGGGAGAAGAGGGAGGGGGAGGAGGAGGAGAGAAATGGAAGGACGGAGGAGGAAACGAGTGGGGGCAAGGGAGGATATGGACGGAGGGGAAGAGGAGGAAGGGAAGGTGGAGGAGGGCGAGGCGAAGGACTGGGAGGAGCAGGGTCGAAGGCCAGATGAAACCCAAGATGCACGATCGATGTTGCAACGCACCCTCCCGTCCCGAGCCCCCCTCGCCATACACCCGCACAAACAAGATGTGTCACGAGACGGGCGCGGGATGTGGCAAGTGCCCCCCTTGAAAGACGAGCGTCCAGTGGGCCAGTCAGGCGAGAACCCCGTGCTCAAAAAGGGCCGTCCGCCAGAAGTGCAAAGTGGCAGGGTCGAGGTTCACAGACCTGCCCCGCAGGAGCCCCGTGCTGAGGAGGATCTGCCCTACACGTGTGAAACTGCTGCGGAAGTGCGAGACTCGAACCGACAAGTACAGAGGCATTGAGCGAGACCCCGTGCGCGACAAGAGCCACACCCCATCAGAGCACGAGGATCAGGGGAAGGTGGAGGAGGAACGAGGGGGGCGACGACGACAAGGAAGGACTCGGACCAAGAAGTATGGCCTGCGCTGGGGCGAGTGCGCCATTCGGAACGGCCAACGCTGCACTGGGGGCACACGTTCATTGGACCAAAGCAGAAAATACTCCGACGCCTCCTTCTCCTCCTGTCTGGTACTCCTCATCCTGCTTCATCTTCCTGCCTCCCCCTGCTCCTCCAGCCTTCTCCTCCTCCTCCTCCTCCTCCTCCTCCTCCTCCTGCTCCTCCTGATCATCATCAGCATCATCATCATCATCATCATCATCATCATCATCATCAGCAGCAGCAGCAGCAGCACCAGCATCATCATCATCATCATCATCATCATCATCATCATCATCATCATCATCATCATCATCATCATCATCATCATCATCTATCCATCATCATCATCATCATCATCATCATCATCATCATCATCATCCTCATCTCATCATCATCCTCATGCCTCATCCTCATCTCATTATCATCCTTCATCCTCATCATCATCCTCATCCTTATCATCATCAACCACACCACCAGCATCATCATCATCACCACCACTCACCACATCATCATCAGCATCATCACCATCGTCGTCATCATCATCAGACATCATCATCATCAGCATCATCATATCACATCATCATCATCATCATCATCATCATCATCATGGTCTCGTCATCATTCATCATGATCATCATCATAATAATCCCTCCTCTTCATCATCATCATCATCATCATCATCATCATCATCATCATCATCATCAGCATCATCATCATCATCTCATCATCATCATCATCATCATCATCATCATCATCATCATCATCATCATCATCATCATCATCATCATCATCATCATCATCTACTTTTCTTTTTCTTCATCATCCATCTCCCGATGCCTTATCCTGCCTCATGCCTCCTCCTCGTCCTCCACCTGCCTCCCCGTCCTGCCTCTTCCTCATATCCTCCTCCTCCTCCTACTCCTCCTCATCATCATCAGCATCAGCATCAGCATCAGCATCAGCATCAGCATCATCATCATCAGCATGATCAGCATTATCAGCATTACCATCATCATCCTCATCATCATCATCATCATCATCGTCATCATCATCATCATCATCATCATCATCATCATCATCAACTACTCTTCTGTTTCTTCATCATCCATCTCCCGATGCCTTATCCTGCCTCCTGCCTCCTACTCGTCCTCCACCTGCCTCCCCATCCTGCCTCTTCCTCATATTCTCCTCATCCTCCTCCTCATCATCATCATCATCAGCATCATCATCATCATCATAATCCTCATCCTCATCCTCATCCTCATCCTCATCATCATCATCATCATCATCATCATCATCATCAGCATCATCATCAGCATCATCATCATCAGCATCATCATCATCATCATCATCATCATCATCATCATCATCATCATCATCATCATCATCCTCATCCTCATCCTCATCCTCATCATCATCCGCCTCCTCCTCCTCCTCGTCCTCCTCCTCCCCCTGCTCCTCCTTTTGCTCCTCCTCCTCCTCCTCCTCGTCCTCCTCCTCCTCATCCTCCTCCTCTTTTGCCTCCGCGGGTGGCACCGCAGGCGCAGACCGCATCCTCCTCCAACGTCCTGCCTCCGCTTTCCTGCCTCCTGCCTCCCCCTCCCTCCTGCACTCCCCGTTGCTGCATCCTCAGTCCTGCCCCCGTCGTCCTTTCTCCTCCTTCCCCCCCCCCTCCAGGAAGACGACGCCAACTGGCAATCGCTGAAGACGATGAATACATCGCCGGCGCACGACGTCGCCGAAGGACGACAGGCGCCCGGCGACCAAGACTACGAGCGACAACGACCAGCGGCGACCCTCGACGACGACGACCACGACGACGACGACGACGCGCTGACTGACTGACTGACTGGCTGACTGGCTGACCGACCGACCGACCCACCCACTGACTGACTGACTGACTGACTGACTGACTGACTGACTGACTGACTGACTGACTGACCAACCGACCGACCGATCCACCGACCCTTCGACCGATCGACGACGACGAAGCACGGAGAAAAAGATTCGGTGACATCCGACGACGGCGCAATAAATTGGCATCAGGGAACAAGGTCCCGAACGAAGCGGGCTCTTCCGTGGGATAGCTTGCGTATCCTCGATCCTCGATCCTCAATCCTCTATCCTCGATCGATCCTCGATCCTCGATCCTTGATCCTCCATCGATCCTCGATCCTCGATCCTGGAGGCGTGTTTGACGGTCCTGTGGGCCGGGAAGGGCCCCGGGAGGCCGACAACGGCGACATTTATCAGGGGGGACCTCACTCTTCGTGGCGAGGCGACGTCCTTGGCCAACGCCACATCGCAGTTCATTGCGAGGGAGATCGGCTGCTCGCGGTTCAGCCAGGCTGCCAGCTCCACCAGAACGTCCGGGCCGAGGCCCGCGGGCGCGGTCACGTCGAGGTAAGCCTCCCGCCACTGCTCGTCGATGTCCGCGGGGGGGCGCTCGCCCATCCTTCAGGCGTGGTCGGAGGTGGTCCTGGCCCCAATGTGCCCCCAGCGTGTCGATCCATTCTAGAGTAAGGTCGGGCCTGTCCCCCTACAGGCGGATTTCGGATGAAAAATGAAAGAAGAAATAAAATTAAAAAATACTCCAAAATGGTCAAAAATGGTCGAGACATCGTCCCCAGACTATTTTTTTGACTACTTTTGAACATTCTCCCTGTAGAGGGACAGGCCCGACTGGATTCTGGAGCCCCCCTGCGGCCCTCCGGGCCTCTGGAGGGGCGCCGTGGAAGCCACCTGAGCTTCCCTGGAGAGGCTGGGGTCCACTTGGGCCAGGGCCAACCCGTGGCAAAACCTGAGAGAAGAAGCGACACGTGCATGCTGGACAGCGTGGACCCCGAAAACCGAATCCTTGCACTCTGGACGTGGGGCCTGTGAGCTGCAGTCTGCGCTGCGCCATCTGCGCCGCGCACGACCACCTCCGATGCTCGTGCAAGGATCCCACCCACCCATCCACCCGCAACACGATGGCAAAACTCACATGGCGGCGACAACGATCACGATGATTACGATGATCATGTTCATGACGACTGTGGGGACGACGTCGACGACGACGACGACGACGACGACGACGACAACGATGGTGATGGTGGTGGTGATGGTGATGGTGACGGTGACGGTGACGGTGACGGTGATGGTGACGATGATGGTGATGGTAATGCTGATGCTGATGCTGATGCTGATGCTGATGCTGATGCTGATGCTGATGCTGATGCTGATGCTGATGCTGATGCTGATGCTGATGCTGATGCTGATGCTGATGCTGATGCTGGTGATGATGCTGAGGATGATGCTGATGATGATGAATTGACGATGATGATGATGATGATGATGATGATGATGATGATGATGATGATGATGATGATGATGATGATGATGATGATGATGATGGCAATGATGACACTGACAATGACAATGACAATGATGATGATACTGATGATGATGATGTTGCTGGTGCTGTTGCCGATGCTGATGCTGATGATGATGATGATGATGATGATGATGATGATGATGATGATGATGGTGATGGCGATGGTGATGGTGACGATGATAATGAGACTGATAATGATGGTGATGATGATGAAAAGCTGATAGTGATGAAAATAACGGTGGCAGCAGCGACGCTGGCAATGACGATGACGTGCGGGGAGGATGATGCGGAAGTACGCGCGCGCAGACACATTGACGAGAGCGACGGCATCGACGATGACGTTATGCTGGCAGTGGAGACGACGACGACGATGGTGATGATTATGATGAGGATGACGATAGCAATGATGACGCTGACGATTTAACGGGCGAAGAACGGTGTAAAATAAACTTTTTCGCTGTCGGGGGCGCCTGTCCCAGGGCGGCTGGAAAGTTTATACCCTTACGGTGGCACCGTAGGGGTATAAACTTTCCAGCCGCCCAGGGGCAGGTGTCTCCGACGGCGGAAAGTTTATGTTATACCGTTCTTCGCTCGCTGAACGATGATGATAACGATTGTAGGAAACGGGTCCCCGCAGGAATTCCGAAAACCTGCAATACCTTTGACTGAGTGAACCAGTGGGTGTTCGCAAGTTGATAAACACCTCTGCGGAAGAGGTCTCCAAGATGACCCAACAAGCCTCCAAGATGCCCCAAGAGGCCTCCAGGAGCACTCCCAAGAGGGCCCCAAGAGGCAAAAATCAATGTTTTTTCTTAGGTTTTGGACAGATTTGGGCGTTTCAACCTTTTCGGTTCCCCGACGCCCCTAAACGGCTCAAGAGGCCTCCAAGATCGCCCCAAGAGGGCCCAAGAGGCCCTCAAAAGGGCCCCAAGACGGCCCAAGACGGCTCCAAGACGGCCCCAGAGGCCTCCAGGACGGCCCAAGAGGGCCCCAAGAACGCCCCCAACACGGTCCAAGAGAGGTCCGAGACGCCCAAAGATCGCTCCACGACGCCCAAGATGGCCTCCGGACGGCCCAAGACGTCTCCAAGATGGCCCAAGAAGCCTCCAGGATGCCCCAAGAGGCCTCCAAGAGAACTCCCAAGAGGGCCCCAAGAGGCAAAAAACTCTGTTTGTCCTTTGATTTCGGGAAATATCTGGGCGTTTTAACCTTTTCGGTTCCCCGACGCCCCTAAACGGCTCAAGAGGCCTCCAAGATCGCCCCAAGAGGGCTCAAGAGGCCCCCAAGAGGGCCCCAAGACGGCCCAAGACGGCTCCAAGACAGCCCCAGAGGCCTCCAGGACGGCCCAAGAGGGCCCCAAGAACGCCCCCAACACGGTCCAAGAGAGGTCCGAGACGCCCGAATATCGCTCCACGACGCCCAAGATAGCCTCCAGACGGCCCAAGACGTCTCCAAGATGACCCAAGAAGCCTCCAAGATCCCCAGGAGGTCTCCAAGTGCATTCCCAAGAGGGCCACAAGAGGCAAACAAACTATGCTTTTCCATAGGTTTTGGACAGATTTGGGCGTTTCAACCTTTTCGGTTCCCCGACGCCCCTGAACGGCTCAAGAGGCCTCCAAGATCGCCCCAAGAGGGCCCAAGAGGCCCCCAAGAGGGCTCCAAGATGGCCCAAGACGGCTCCAAGACGGCCCAAGAGGCTCCAAGACGGCCCAAGAGGGCCCCAAGAACGCTTCAAGAACGCCCCAAGAGGGAGTTCACGAAACAGAATTTCGAGCTCTCGGCCCTTAGAGGCCCCCGGGAGGCCCCAAGACGCCCCCAAAGGCCCCAAGAGGCCCCCAAGAGGCCCTCAAGAGGCCCCAAGAGGCCCCCAAGAGGCCCCCAAGAGGCCCTCAAGAGGCCCCCAAGAGGCCCCCAAGAGGCCCTCAAGAGGCCCCCACGATGGCACCAAAGCCGTCAAAAAGCTGCAAACACCTAGAAGCCCCATGAAAAAAACAACAACAAATTTATCGACAACTACACAGCTCCCGACGCCGCAGCTCCACACTGCAAACGACCACTCGGACAGGCGACCACGGTGCGACATTATGGGCCGGCGGAATGAGCGAAGCGATTAAATAAACTTTTTCGCTGTCGGGGGCGCCTGTCCCAGGGCGGCTGGAAAGTTTATACCCCTACGGTGGCACCGCAGGGGTATAAACTTTCCAGCCGCCCAGGGGCGGGTGTCTCCGACGGCGGAAAGGTTATGTTATACCGTTCTTCGCTCGCTGAACGAGGATGATAACGATTGTGCTGATACGATTATGAGGAAACGGGTCCCCGCAGGAATTCCGAAAACCTGCAATACATTTGACTGATTGAACCAGTGGGAGTTCGCAAGTTGATAAACACCTCTGCGGAAATGGTTCGAAAACAACTGGGTGTGGAAAGATTTCGACGTGCGCGCCCGGAGACGCGCGCATGTTGCCGGCATGTTATTGTTTGACAGAGGTGGCGGGCGCGCAATGGTTGTTGAAAGTGCTTGGCATGCGCTCGCGCGTGGCCCGCATGGTCTCGTGTGACAAGACGATTAAACACCTGAGAGTATCTTGATTCTGTGAGTGCGAGACGCAGAATTACATCAACTTTTCGGTTGAAAGCAGCTGGCCTTTGATAGTTGTTGGCTAGCAGCGACTTGCAGTGATCCTGCCGAAAGACTCGACCAGATGCGGGTGCGAGTGCCGCATAGCAGGTAGGACAAATAAACGACAGCTCCCCACGGAGCCACGAAACGTGTGAGGAGGGGGCCGAAACGGGTGCGGTGACGCCACGCGAACCCTGCCACTGGGGCCTCCGGTGGGGTTCCCTATGGAGCCACGAAACGTGGATGGGGCGTGCCGACATGGGCGCGGTGGCGCCATGCGAGCCCTGCCAATGGGGCTTTCGGTGGGGCCCCCTAAGGGGCCACGAAACGTGTGAGGGATGTACAAACATGGGTGCGGTGGCACGATGCGAACCCTGCCACTGAGGCCTTCTGTGGAGCTCCCTATGGGGCAACGATACGTGTGAGGAGCGTGCCAACATAGGCGTGGTGGCGCCGTGCGAACAGTGCCACTGGGGCCCTGGAGTTCCCTACTGGGCCACGATACGTGTGAGGGGGGTGCCGACATGGGTTTGGTGGCGCCATGCGAACCCTGCCATTGAAGCCTTCAGTGGGGCTCCACATGGGGTCACGAAACTATGAGGGGTGCACCGACATGAGCGGACGGCGCCATACAGTGAGGTGTTCCCTGGAAGTCCCTACGGGGCCACGAAACGTATGAGGGGTGTGCCGGACCAGATGCGATGGCCCCATGCGAACCCTACCACTGGGGCCCTCGGAGATCCCTATGGTGTCGCGATACGTGTGAGGGGTGCGCCTACATGGGCGCCGTGGCGCCATGCGAACCCTGCCATTGGGGCCTTCGGTGCGGCCCCCTTTATGGGACCAATAAACATGTCACGGAGGTGCCAGATTCGACGTGGTGGCCCCTGCCACTATGTTTTTGTGTGGGCCCCATATGGGGCCACGAAACGTGTGAGGGGTGTGCTGATATTGGAGAGAACGCGTTTCACAGGCGCTTGTCTGGCGAAAATTCGGCGGCGCGTTTCGAAAAAGGGGGTGGGCCCCCCTCCAACACTCGGCGCCGTCGATCAAAACCAGGGGGACCCCCCTCCCCCCCAATCCCCCCCTCCCGAAATCCCCCCCCCTCCCAAATTGAGGGGAGGGGGTTCAAACCCCCTTGGTCGGCGCCGGCGCCAGCGCTGGCGGCCGCCAGCAGCGCCCACGTCACGGCGGGGACGCAGCGTCGATGAAGCCCACGGTGGGGGGTTGAACCCCCCCCCCCCTGGCGCCGGGGGGAGGGATTGAAGCCCCCCCCATCCCCCCACCCCCCCCACCCCCCTCGAGCCGGTGCCAGCGCTGGCGGCGGCCAGCAACGCCCACGGCGGGGACGCAGCGACGATGACCAGAGGCAGCCAAGGGGGGGGGTGAAACCCCCCCCCTCCCCCTGGCGCCGGGGGGGAGGGGGGTTGAACCACCACCCCTCGAGCTGGCGCCGGCG